TCCCTCTTGCTTTTTATTTTTTTTTCACCCAATTTCTTTTTTTTTTTTTTCCCCCTCTACCTCTCCCCCAAAACTTGGCTTCCCTTCCTGCGGATCTGTGTGCTCGGCTGTTTCTGGGCTTTACCGGTGGGGTAGGATCATGCCGGACCAGATCACCGTGTCGGAGTTCATCGCCGAGACCACAGAGGATTACAACTCCCCGACCACCTCCAGCTTCACCACCCGGCTGCAGAACTGCAGGAACACGGTCACGCTGCTGGAAGAGGTAAATCATTGCTCCCACCTTTTTTTTTCCCTGTGTTTTTTGTTTTTTGTCTTTGAGAGAGAGCATCAGGGCCGGGGCAGTACCACCCGCCCATATCCATGGGAGCTAGAGGCATTGGTATGCATGTAATCTGGTCTTTTAATTGTGGGACTTTGCTCTTGTGTTGAGCTAGTTACAGAAAGCTTTCCTTCTCTGGCGTCTTACAGATTAATGCGTAAAGCAGTTGCCTGGACTTAAATATTAGTGTTGTACTTCTTGGTGTTTTTGGTGTTGGTGGTTGTTGCAGTAGAAAAAAGTGTGGATGTTGGGATTTTTAGAGGTTGAGTTTTGTTTGGGAGCGTTAGCAGAGGTTTTCCCCAGCCACTCATTAAGACTAAGTCAGTGCAGAACTCTGACTGTGGAAACCTGCCAAGGGAGACTTCGCTTAATAAAAGAGGTAAGAATGAATGTGAAGAAAATTATATGAAAACAAAATAGGTGGTAGACAGGGAGCAAAATAGTGCAGCAGAAGTGATTATACAGTTCCAGCATCTCAACCTTGAAGACTCGGTGTTGGGGTTTTTTTTAATGCTTATTATAAGCATCATTTAATGGTCATCCTGCTTTGCTGTCAAGACATAGGAGTGTGAATGGGTAAACTTCCAGAGCTGGTTTCTATGGGATATCAGTCCAGTGCTTCCTATTTGAGGTTTCAGAGTTATTTCCTATGGATTAGGTCAGCAGTTATGAGGAAATGTCTTCCAAATGACTTTAAAAACAAGACAGTGTATAGCTCTTCTCTTGCCCTGTGCTTGGTTGAAGGTACTAGCATAATGATGCTGAAAGAAGACTGTTTTTTGCTGTAGTTTCATTGATTGCAGTTAGTTGATGTTTTGGATTGTACGCTTAGTTCATCAATTATTTTTCAATTCTTCAGGAGCCAGTGCATGTCTAGAAGCTGGATTTAATAGGTTCTGTTTAGTTTTGCTGAGTGTGTTGGCATGAGCAAAACATTTGGTGTGAAAGGAAAGAGTATTAATCATGGCATTCTTCTGATCGTGTTGAGTATGGAAAATATAGCTCCAGTGGATTAAAATTAGTTAATGTTGGCTTAGTAGAAAACCTGTCCATGTTCAAAATGTTAATAGCGCTATTGTTTACAGTAATGGACTAAATAATAGAGTGATTGTAAGATTACATTTAAACTCATGTATTTTATTTTTATTATGTAACCTAGATTAACTTCTGTAAGTTTTCCATAACTGTAACTGCTTTTTTCTCATGTAACTAAGCTGTGATTACTTATAGATTTGTCAGAAATCAACCTGTTTTGTTTTGACAGTATTGCTGCCCCCTGGTCTTAACTATGTGGAATAGGTACAGCCATTGGTATACTTATTAGTACAGTTGACAGCATTCATAGAGTTAAGTAAAAATATGTATTCTGCCATCACTGGTGACATCTAGGATAATAATACAGTATAATGCTTTCATGATTTGGGAGATGCATCAGCACAGTCTGAGCGTGGTAGTACCCGTCCAAAGAAAACCAAAATACAGAAAATAAATACATAGTGTTCTGCACCATTAGTGTGGATTGTGTGTATTTTCAAAGTTTTATGTCTGATTTGATGGCAGTAAATCAGAGGAATAGAAAATAATGGGTTCTTCTAGTGCTTATGTTGCTATTTCTTGAATTTCTTTTGTTTGTCTAACTATTTTATGGGCCGTATCTAAACTGTTTGCAGTTTTATTTTATTCTGGATTTGTTTTGTATTATTTTTTATTACTGGTAAATATAAAAAAAGCTTTATTTTATGGGAAACAAGATCTAAATGTCCTCTACTGTTACATGCTGCGAAAAAATCTGTAACTCTCCCAAATTTGTTTTTATTAATTTGCATGAAGAAACGCAGATGGTCAGAATGTGGCAGGCAAAGTGCTCCATTAGAGCCTTTGATTGTATCTCTGCTGTAGTTGGAGGTTGCACACGCAGTTCTGCTGCTGCTACCTTACAGCTGAGTTGGTTTCTGTACATCTGCTTACTTAAGGCTGTGAACCATGAAGCAGGGGATTGAAATGGAATGGTTGAAGTGGCTGCTACGTAGCTCTTATTGCCACTGCTGTTGTTCCTGCATCGTGGATGACTGAAGAGCTCTTCAAGCAGCTCCTGAACTTCCATTTTCACCCCCCTATATTATGGCAAAGGGGGTGATCCCATCCTTGCAACTGTTTGATTTTTCACATACCATTGGGTGTGGGTTGGAGCCCTCACTGGGCTTTTGCAGGCAGTGTCAAACTTTGTGCTGTTGTGGAGCTGCAGCCTGAAGTGTCTTAGGTCATTATTTTAAAGCCAACTTAATTCAACACAACCTCTACCTACCTTGGTGTGACTCTAAGCTGGTTTGGGGATAAACTAATTGTTTTCTTTATTCTAAATGTGATTGTGAACTAGAACTATTTTCTGAACAGAGTTGATAGGCAAATTAAACAGATTTAACAAAAGTCAGATCAGTTTCATAGCCTCTCAGTCTGGTGCCCATAGCTCAGATCAGTGATTAGATCAGAACCATCTTTCCTAAGGAATGTTGACAAAAAAGTAGACTGGTTTCTCTGTGTGTGTATGTCTATTTAGTTTTATGAAGGTATTACAGAATTGTGAATTTACTGTTCTTTAATCACGATTAACAAGTTTTCTGAAATAATAAAATAGATGATAGCCTCAGTTGCTACTGTTTTCATTTGGATGTTCTCCGGTAGAAGTGTAGTTAGTTCAACGGGGTGGATTGATATGTATTCTCTCCTAGTTGTCTCCTTGTCTCTCTTCTCCTACTATAAATAAAGTTCTTTTCAGAAGATACTTTGTATCCAGTTAGATACAATTTTGAGACAAGTTTCAGATCAAAAGAGCAGGTATTTTTAGTGATTCTGATGACTTTTCATTTGGTAAGTTTTTAATGGAAAGCCTAACAAAATACGAGAGCATACTTCAAAAAGTCAGAACTCTAGGAACGATTTTTTCCAAAGGACTTCCGTGTGTTTGACTTACTATAAAAACCTCCCCCCCAAAAAACCCCAAACAAAACAAAAAAAACCACACAAAACCACCAACTCCCAAAAAAACCCAAAGGGAAAAATAGTAAGTACGTGCTTCTATGTAGCAGTTTATTAGCTAGAAAAGTTTCATGCTGTGTTCTTTAAACTACTGAAATTTCTGAAAATTTGCAAGGTTTTTTTTTCCCCCTCCTAAGGGAGAAAACTTAAGTCTTTGTCATCCAGTCACATCAGACAAAAAAAAAAGACCCTGTCATCTTTTAAACCAGGTGTAGGCATCTTATACAGCAGTTACCAAAGAACTGCAAGATTATTTTTTTAAAACATGAGTGTTATCTAGTGGTCATCAGTAAACACAAATTTTAAGGCTCATTCTATTGCTGAAGTAATGATCTTTTTTTTTTCCCAAATTGCAAGGGAAGAGAACAAAACTAACATTGTAATCTCGGTCTAGTTTAAGAGAATTTGCAGTCTCTCCTCCTTTCTGTGTTGATTTATTCAGTGTAATGTTACAGTCATGCAAAGAATACATTTTCAACTTCATGTTTCTGCATTCAACTGGGAGCTTTTTATGATATTCATATGAAAAGGTGGATTATTGCTTATGTAGATGGGTGGTTAATTATTTTTTAAAAAGTTGAAATGCTAAGATAGTACAGACAGATTACTGATACAGTGTCTTAAAATATAGCCTCTGCTTTGTTCTTACCAGACATGCTTTTATATCCACAGTAGCTCCATGATTTTTTACTCAGATAGATTTTCAGTGGATTTTAATCCTTAAGTTGCTATTACTGTGTGAGCTAGTTGGAATTTTTAGGGAATGATGGCATCTGTTCTGAGAATAAGTGGTGCACATGTGGGATCACCACAGGACTGGCTTGATTACCACTCTGCTGTGTCCCAGCTTCAGCTGAAATGACATCTTTGCACTCAAGGGATAACTTGGTTATCATGACCAGGCAGTTCTGAGTCTTTCCTCTAAAGCAGCAGATGTTTTACAGGGCTGTCTTGAGATACAGTGGTTAAGCTTAAATGTTTAAATTTGCTTTAGGCAGGCTGGTAGACAACAAGGGACATTTAGAAGCTGATGGTACAATAAAGAATAGCTGCGGTTATTTCTGATGTGTGTTTTACTGTTAGGCTTTTGTAATACTCGAGCATCTCTAAGTTATTTCTTTCTTTTGCTTTTCAGTGAGAATTTGAAAACCCAAAATGTGCTTTCTGATAATTAGATCTTGTTCTATGCATCCTTTTCTAATAAGTGATGACTGTAATGAAACATGGCTGCAGATATGTTTGGGTTTGTTATTTTGTTTGTTTCACTAAAAAAACCAAAACAAAAAACAAAACCTAAACCACCATTCTGGCAATGTCTGTTGCTCATTTTGTTTCTCACTGTGCAGATCTGCTTGAGCTCAGAGGTCTGTTGGTCTAGACTGGTCTGTAACAGATGTGCACATGCTACAGCAGTAAAAGAATGACTGATTGGCTCCTGCTCAGCCTAACAATAATTTTGGTGTTCTCAGTGTGAGTCTGGTATAACCTCACATATCTTGAAGGGGGAAGATTTCTCAGTGTTCTTCGTGTCATAGACACTTATTTAAGATTAGACATGGGAAAGAGGAAAGTATGGGGATTTTTAGTTTTGCCTTTTAAAATTTGCTTTGAAAGTATGTTTTGTATGAATCACTTTCACAGTTTCCAGTGTGTAACTTTCCCTTCGTTTTTCAGTTTCTGTGAGGTTTTTATTATTCTACTAGAGAGGAGCTCTGGGGACCGTGATAAGGGGTTGGGGATTTTCCTTCTTATGAATTTGTAGGAACTTGTGTAACACTTAAACTGCTATACAGTCAGTTCATCTACAGTGATTTCTACACTTTGCTACCACAAGGTCCTTTCCCAGAGATAAAGTATTCGATCAAGGGAGGTAGGTGAAACCATGCAAGAGAACAGGAGCACTTCCA